ACATTGGTGGCCTTGGATTTTAAACGCCTCCTATTGCCTCACAATTACTTTCACCACCACCAGCCAAACCCCTCCCACTTATATGCACAAGACCCCCTCTGCAGTATTTGCTGAGAGCACAGCTTTTCTTGGCTATTCTGTCTGACTCCAGGTGATACTCATGACCTCAGTAGCAGATCCACAGGGAGGGGAATGACATCTCCTACCCATAGATTTGGGAAGCCTTGGTTGATAAAATATTTCACTTAGTCCAAGTAGCAGGAGACTCATACAGAAAATGAAGACCTCCTTGCCTCCTTTTTGGATGATCATTTGGATGATTTTCTTAAACTGATAATGGAAACCAGATCAGAACTGGAATAAAAAACCTCCAAGGTAAAACCTGGAGAGGTCTGACGAGCTGGTGCATTGCTAAGAGACCAAAAAACCCTCCTGAATTTTTACATGGACTTCCCAGACATAACAGAGTCATAAGGAGTTACATCTCAGCCCTGACATGCAGCAAATCTCCTACCCAGTCACTCCTCCTACACATCTTTGGCTTTTGCATTGGTCCTTACTCTTTTGTCTCTTGTCTGGATATTAATTTTCACTTGCATTTCTGAAGTTTCATCAGTTTGAAACTTTCTCCTACCTCTAAATTATCTTATCATCAAGTCTTCCTTGTAGCCCTCCTACCCCTTCTGGCTCATGAGTGCTGTTTGTGTGCTTAGGGCTGGGGGACAGTAGAGTCATTAAATTTATCATACCTTGTACAATTTCATCTTGGGTGTAGGCACGATTGTCCACTCCAGTTGCCTGCTTTATGAATTTAGGTTGGCATAAGTCATTTTCTGGAGGGTAGTCCTCTTGCCTCAGAGGAGCAGTGAGGAAACAAATTTCAGGGACAATATACATTATTAGGAAAATCCAACCATTGGATACCAGAGCGATGGCCACAACAGGATCATCCCAGATTTCTTTGTTTAAAACTGTGTTGCCTTTTATGAGCATAGTGATCCATACTACCCAAATGGCAATGGAGAACAGTACAGTGACAAAGATGTGTGCCCCGTGCCTCTTCCACCTTTTGTATGACCCACAGAATGTGAACATGGAAACCAAGAAGGTGAGAGCCATCAAGAAGAGCACGTAGATCAAAAGCATGACAAAGTCCTTGTTGGTATCCTCCCGAGACATAGTCAGAAACGTGTCTCTCTGGTTTACTAGCATGGTGACTAAGTACTCAATGCTGATCACAACTTGTACCAGGGCAAAGGAAACAATGAGGAGCAGCAGCACCCGCCAGGAGAAGGGCTTTCTTCCTCTCACTAGTTTGCTGAGGTTGCATGCATGGGTGAGGAGGCATGAGAAGCAGAGAGCAAAGATGACTCCAAATAGGAAGAAACGAGTGGGGCGAGTCCTGTTATTGAGTTTAATGATGAAGGCAAAAGTGAGACCAAAAACGCCGAGTGTGCCTAAGAGAAAGAAAAAATAGATGGAGATCATGTGACGCTTGCTGTTGTCTTGGACTTTACAGATGAGAAAAAAGAGCGAGCAGATGAGGAAAATGGTGATGAGGATGCCTGCTGCAGCCAGTGACTCCAGGACAATCCCCCAGGCCCTTTCTGTGTCACAAAGCGGGTAGTAGTCGGCATTGATGTTGCCACAGCCTTGGGGAGGTGAAGTTGTCATCCTCTTGCCTTCTTGAACAACCTTCCCCTGAAATGTTTCCGCAAAGCTGTAGAAGAAGAGACACAGGCTATTATATCAACCATCTGGGTGCTGCCAGCAGTGGGGAAAGAGAGGCAGGACAGACCTCCATCTCCACCTCTCTGAGCAATGACACCACACGGGGCTGTGGGAGCAGAGCCATCTCCTTGTCTGGCACTGGCTCCCTATCAAGGGGCAAGTCAAGCCCCTCAGCAGGACACAATTCACCTTGCATGTCCTCTGCACCATGCCTAAGGTTGTGCAATGTTGTAGGAGTGTGGGAAGCAGGGAGAAGGTGAGGGGCTTTTGCAGGCATTAGCATGGTGCCCTGCAGCACAAAGACTGAGCTGCTTTGTCATTTCTGTGATACAAGAGTAGCTGTTAGTCATAATACGGTTTATGCTCCTTTAACAAGTTCAAACAACATCAGTACCTTGTACCAGTAAGGCTCAGAGATGAGCAGTGCAGAACAGGAAATTGTTACTCTGTTTGGTTTTCCTCTTTTACTTTCTCTGAAGCACTTTAGGCTTTGGTTTACTAGCATGAAAAAAGGGGGAACTTTAATGCCTTTTACCCTACAGATAACTAACCTGGATGCCTCCACCATAGCTTGTATCAGTCCAAATTAAATAGCAAATATAGGCTGCCAACCATTAGCCCTAAATCCATATTCCTCCTTCTTCATGGCAGTGCAGCAGTAAGAAATGTCTGAGACCTCAGCCTCCTCAAGATTGCCTTGTGCTGACACGTCAGAGCTAATGCTGCTCATTGCATGGGAAATAACCATGAAGCCACTGCTTGAGGAGTCCATGAGTCAAGGATGGACAAGGTCTCTAATGCACCCAGTGCTTTCCCCTGTTTCATCATAAGGATTTCAGTGTTGTTTGAGTAAGTCTGGCTTTAAGCCCATCTCGCCAGGGGAACGAGGGCTTAAGAGGACTGTTTAGGTGAGCTCTGCCCATCACCTCCGGGGAATTAAGTTCCCTACTTCCTTGGGAGCTCGAAGCATATGCAGAAACCACTGTATGGGGCACCCTGAGGTCCCTTATGCAAGCACTGAGTGAGTTTAGATTCCACGGGCCAGGTACTGCTTTCTGAATACCAAATTGCTCAGTTAGGTTTGGGTCTCTAAAAGCCTCAAAACAGGTGTTTAAATACAATATCAGCACGAAACATGGGTGAAACTGTCCTTAACAGTGACCCACACTGGAAAACCAGGTATTTTCTAATAAAGAAAAAAATTAACCTTGCAACATTTAGAGCATAATGCTCACTATGCCATTTGCCTTGATTCCCCAACCTTCAGCCCCAGAACAACATACTGCAGTTATGAAGCTGGTGTTCAGACCCTTCCAACAGATCTTACGGAGTGCAAATTGTGTTTTCAATAAATGAGAGTTGATCTAATCAAGGGGTGAACAAAGAGTAAAAATACCACTGACTCACTCTCAGCCCCACATGTGCCTCAATAGGATCTGCTTATAACTGAACTAGTGGAATATTTTTCCACCTTTTAACCTCATTGTTTAAAAGGAAATTTGCAGCTCTTCAAAGATGCTGGCTACAATAAAATGCAAATTATTCAAATATGCAGGAAGTTTAGACTCCCATGGAGAGAATGGAATAAGTGAATAACACATGCAGGAGTTTTCACAAATCATTGTTCATGAAATTTTGGGGACTTATGACCTCTTGTACAAATAGCTGAGAGTTATCTGGACCTTTCTGAAAATCTGGAAAGTAAATGCTAGTTTTATCCATAACATTTACTGTCGATCAGATTAGCTTATCTATTCACAGCTCTGGCAGATACAGGCTGGTGCTTGCTCCTGGGACATGTGGAGAGCCCAGAGAGCCAATGTGAGACACCTCATGCCTGCATGGAGCACACCCAGAGCTTTGATGCTTACTGCAACTGGTACCTGCAACTGCCAGCCACCATGGCCCTTGAAACAAAAAGTATGGAAAAAACCTTGCTGACTTGGACAACTGGGCCATTTGCAGCATTTTTTACTCCCTTTTCTCCCTTTTTTTTTCCAGGGTAGATGTCCTATGAAGCATGAGGAATCTCTGCCCAGCTTCCTGGGTGAGTGTCGCCCCCAGAAGCTGAGTCTGCTCATCCCGCACCTACCAAAGTGTCTAGGAATTCCAAGGGGCTCTGCAGTCTGTGCAAGGGAGCCTGTGCTGAGGTAACGTAACCAGCGCACCCCAAAACGCAGCTCTTGCTTGAGTGCTGAGTCTTCTCCCTCCACCCTGGCCCTCCTCTCTCACTGACACTTGTGCATAAAATACACCCATCCACCCACAAATTTCAAAAAATTTCT